TAGTCTAATTGGCTTAGGACAACTGCCCGAATAGCAGGAGGTATGGGTTCGATTCCCATGAAAGTCATCTTTTTTATCGTTCTGTCACATAATATCAGTAACACTGCTTGTCTCTTTCGTTCTATACATATTAGAGCTAACACAAGCGTTACTAAAAGGAGCATAGTTATTGAGCACTTGGCAAGAGGGATCACATAGACTATCGCAGAAATCAACAAGCTGAGTTGTAAGGGTTTGAAAAGCTTAGGCGTTAGCTATTTAATTAGAACTCAATTTGCATCGCAATAGCGGCTGCACTGCAAACACATTGTGATGCGCAATTGCACGAATAGGGAGCGAAATGTTGCATTCTACCGTAATTGTGGCGCAATGACTAACCATTGCGTGACATGGGCATTGACAAGGAAGAAAGACTTTTCTATCCTATAAAAACGCACACTACTTGGTATGCAGTTGCACATAGAAACAAGCAATCGAATGAGTGACAATGAATTGACGCTTACTTTATTCCATCAAATACGATTTTTAATGAGTGTTGAAGTATATAGCGATAAAAGTGAGTGAACCTCCTCGCACTAGAGAGCTGCAAATCGGACCCGGTCGGGTCTATACCCGGACCCGGTGTTTTTTTTCATGGGGGTGAAAATTTGAAAAAGATCACGTAATATTTGACACATTCACCCCATTCCAGCTATTTCAGATAGTTAATTCAAATATTACGTGATCATTTTTCAAAGTTTCACCCCCATGAAAAAAATCACCAGGTCTAGACCCGGACCCGGTTGCCATGGAGATGCAGCTCTCTAACACCCACACCCTCACCCACACCCCACCTACAACTCACACCCATACCCGATGTGGTGGTTATGCGTTGCTGCTTTAACCTTAATCATCGAATATTATTCGATAAAATTCATACGATCACAAGACATTTTAAGTGAATTTAGATAACGTTTTTAGGTCTGACTGAAACTCATAATCAAATAATAACTTTTGTTTCACAAAAGTTTTCTATGAAAAAGATTTACTTTTCTGCAACTTTACTGCTTTTCAATCTGACTTAATCGGACAGAAAGAAATTTTTATGTAGTATATTTCAATTTTAAGTAAAAGCTGTCCACGTAATCGTGACCTTGAAGTCTATTTGGCTAAGTTGAAAAAGCTAGCCAATATATCGCTTAGAACTTTTTAAAGGTTTACGATAAATATGCCGAAAACCTTTGAAACTGTCATAGAACATGAGAGATAACATATCTGAGATGCTCTGCGAGTATGGAGGTCCAACTTTCTCGTTATATAAACTGTAGAACGAAAAAAACTCTGACTATCCAATCTTGATTACTTGAAGTATGGGTGTGAGTGCTTTCGTAGCTTGAAAGTCGAAAGTTGAAAACCCAATTGAATTTAAGCTTCAAGTCTTACATATGTATGCTTTTTGTTGCTAATACAATATGATAAGTTAGAAAATCAGAATAGGAACTAGTTCCTTGTAGCTCAACTCAATTCACTCTATATAATATTGTAGTATTATCCGACGCTGAGTAAACAGTTAATCATTTTACTGCTCACAACAACATTAATACAATGCATTTTCCTCTGCTACTATTCAAAGACATCAAATAAACGTTCTCTTGTTTAAAATCTAAGTAGAGAAGAAAAGACGAAACAAGAGAACAGAAGTTCTCATCACATTCTAACACTATCAAATATACTATTGATGTCTGTGTTGTATTCAGTCGATTTTTTTTGATTTTATTCTATTAAGCAGAGAAGTCATAATCATTTTGAATAATCTATCGAAAAAGAAATAATAAAAACTAGCTTCACAGAAACCGCTTTTTTAAACCCTAGTAAAATTCTTACAGCTAGATATTTGCTTTCGTTTCGTTCATACATAATCTGTATTAATAATTAAAGATTTACTTTGTTGTTTTCATCTTTTTTGAATAACATTTCACAGCTCTATGAATGATGTTAACATGAAACCAAACGTCACTTGAATTAGTTTTGATCACACCATAAATATTTAATATTATGAAGAAATATTTTATATATTGCTATATAAAATATCGCTTGTGCATAAAAAAAACTAAAATCTGATTCTGTGCATCTCTTTTTTATTATTATATGATATATACGTTTTTCTAAAACTTATACTAAGCTGCCCGCCCTGAGTTTCTCAACAGTAATCGAATGAAAAAAGCAGTTTTCTTTTTCTGCTTCGTGTCGTTATTCCAAGTATTGTCCGACACTTTCTGAGAATAACCAAAAAGGTTTACTTCCTGTAATTTTCTTCTTTCTGATATAGTTCTTATGATACTTCTAACAATTTCTTTGAAGGAATTCAGTCGTCATATAATATTTTTTTTCTTTATTGTTTTAAATTATTTATTCTCATAGTTGTGCGTTGCCGTCCGGGCAATCTGAATCGGTTAGTTCAATTTTATTTGTCTCGTGTATCATTTAGTTATGTTCATACTGATCGTTAACTTTATCAGAAAACTGGAAGGTGGTTTACTTTACTGCTCTTCGTTTCATTGCATCAATACTTTAACTGCTTTTTAAACAGAGAAAAGCAGAAAGCTAGTTTAGTTTACTTCTTTTTCATTTTACTTATTCCGATAATTGTCGAGAATTTTACAGAAGTAATAGACTGAAAAAGACGCTTTCCTTTTCTTTTGTTCAGCTAATTAATCCGAGTATTGCTCGTCATTTTTCTGAGAAAAATCTAACAGATCAGTTTTGTTTAATTTTTCTCTTTCATTATTGGGTTATTCTGAAAATGATGGTGCATTTTATAAAATGAACAATCTAATAACTTAGTTTCATGTTCTTTTTTCCTAATAACTATGTTCCTATTTCGTTCACATCTTCTGAGAGGAATGGAAAGATTAGTTTTGTTTTCGTTTTTTTTTTTCATTTTTCCTACAAATTCTTCCGCATTTTATAATGGAACTTTAATTAGAAAATTAACTTTACTTTATTTTTTCATTTAGTTACTCTATTAGTTTTTGCGTGTTTTATCGAAGAATTAAAATCAGATAATTGAATTTTCTTGGATTTTCTTCATTGAGCTATGCCGAGAGTTGTCAATCATCATATTGAAATGGACCGAATAAGTTGGTTCTGTTTTGCTCCATTAAGGGGGGCCCCCCTTAGAAATGAAGTCCCACTTGGGACCCTCTGTTCGGGCTGAAATTTTCAGGGATGATTGGTCTTAGTGAGAAACGCCTATGATAAAAATTTCAGCTTCATATGTCCGACTAAATCGCAGTTTTGGTTGGTTTTCCTACCTTTCAGAAGAATCAAAATAACTCCGTCCAGAGAAGGGATACAGAGCTCGGATTGGTTTCAAATTGTAGCTAGCCTCTGTACGCAACTTTTCGTCGAACAGAATTTTGAGATTCTCTTCCATTCATTTTTTATGAGCAATTTTGTCCGCATGCTTGCAAGATAAGCATAAAAAAGTGTGGTTCGACGACAGTAAATCCCACTTTTCTCAGCCCTGGGATTCTATATCAAAAATCTGTTCGATGAAAAGTTAGCTCTGGTTAAGACCTTTAAAACAAAAAAAATCATGGGTTATATGCCGAGCCGAGCGGGAGTTATTTCAATTTTTCTGTCTAGAAACCGTGTTTTGAGAAAAATCCTAAAGAAATTTTAGAAGTGGATTTTTTCATTAAAATTCAGAACAAGTCATGTTACAGTGGTATATTCCACTGAACCGTCTTAAAGGACGTCATTGATGGAGATAGCTAGCTCCATCTAACATGGTGGTTAGTATGAAAACGTTCTGTTCAACGATAATGCTAATGGGAAGGCAATTTTTCTGAAACTGACAACCTTAAAAAACCATGAATTTTTCTGCGAAAACATGGCAGTGGATTTAAAGTTTCATGCAATAAGTCTTTGAAAAACCAATCATTTTTCAAAAACCTATATATATTCTGAAAGAGGAAGCTTCGCTGCATCTTCCTGTAATAAAAACTCAAGTTCGATATTTCCCCGAAAAACTCGATTTTCTGAGGAGGGCCCCCCTTAATTTCAACGATAACTTTCCTGGGCCTTAAGACCAAAATAGAATAAATTAGTTTGTTTTTCTCGATTGAGATCGAGCAGACAATCGGCGAGCATTTCATGCGAAGAGTAACATTAAATTAGTTTACGTGTGTTTACTGTTTTGTAGTTTGCTTCACTTGCAGGTGGGTTTATGGTTGTGGATGAAAATGTTGGTATATTCTTTCCCGACATCCATACATCCACAACCAAATTCCCATCCACACACCCTCATGTCTTATAATGTTCATGTGTATATGTTTATTTACGATGTGAATTCAGACCGATTAGATCAGATGAGAATCACTAGGCATCTTTATATATTTCTATGCATCTCCCTCTTCACATGCAAACAATAAATATATACATATATGAGATATCAGGGGAAAGGTGGAATATATCAATAGATAACATAACACGGTTAGAAAAATGTACGAGTAATTACATCAAAGCAAAGAAAAGAGGAAAGAAAAAAAAAGCACGAGAATATATCGAGGAAAATACCTCGCTTAACGGAAAAAAACATAATGATCGTTAAAAATATGTGTATAGAAAGAAAAAAAACGGACACATGAATAATATCTATAATACATTTATTTTATGGTACACATGTAAACGTGCCATAATAGGCACGCACGCGCATTAAGCAAACCTCAAACCTATACGTCGATCTCTATTCGACTTATTTTTGATCGATACTCAGACATGTACAGAGATTTTTCATAGAGCTGATTATGGAAACATAGACATTTAGCTTTTCACTCCTGACCATTCGCTGCCCGATTGAGTGAAAGTCACTTGTCCTTCTTCAAGTGCACACTTTGGTTTGGCTTTCTCCGTTAAACTAAATAGTGGACGGTTTTTCATACTAGCAAAAGCCGGTACACGACCAAAACCACTATCACGTGTTAATATATGTTGGTCACACAGTGAATATAAAAACATGTCTAGAAGACCATCACGAAATCCAATATATATGTCCTTTGAATATGTAATATGTTTTACTTGTGTGGTGCTTGTCAGTAACTGAATATGGGTGTGATTGACACTGCCGGAATACCATCGATTAAGTGCAATTTTTCTAATGCGAAATGAATCAGACATTAGAAAAACTATCGTTTCTGGATTAGAAGCACTTAATTCTTCAGCACATGTGAAGAAACCTCCAAAACGCTCGATTAATGATGGATCATTTGTGTCAACAGAACTATCTTCTTTCAAAAATAAATCACCAATACGTATTTGAATTCCAATTGTTGGAAATTCTGGCGATAGAAGAGTTTCTAGGCTTTTCTGGAACAATACAGCATCAGTTCGGCTTTCCACTGAACTAGCTTCAATAAATGTTGAGAGGCATGGAATAAGAAGCATATGATACAGACAGCCAAAGATATTATCTGGTCGCATTTTTAATATGTTTTGCATGAAATAAGCATATACGCTCGTTGAAGATGTCAACATTTGCATCACATTTCCAGCATGACTTTTAAGAAACAAAATTCGTTCTGGAAATAATTTTTCACAATCAAATTCTGTCTGGCAACGGTGTGCTCGCGTTATTTGCCATACATTACTCAAATAGAGCGAGTGATTATGAGACAAGTTTTTATTTAAATTATTCAAATGAGATATCCATGGTGCGATTATTTCTGGACGGAATGCTAAATTTGTACGCATGATCTCGAAAAATTCTGGCCATGTGTCATCAAAAACAAAGAATCGTCGTGTTAACACAGCAATTAGGTAGCTTGCAATTAAATGAGTTATGCGATCAGCGATACCAGAATCAAATCGTACCATAACTAGAAATCGAAGATTATGTTATAAGATCAGATCTCGTTGTTGGTTCAATGTTAGATTTGGTTGACTAATCATTTGAGATATTTCCATATGCCACAAATGATAATTAAGTATCCAACTTTGAAATTCAGTTGAACAAAAAGATGCATTTGTTATGAGTTCAAACGCATGTTTTCGACGATCAGGGTTACTTTTTGATGCATTGGAAGCTTTATAGACTACATCTAACCATTCAGATAGAGCTTCTTTCTCTGCTGAAAATATTTTCTGATGACTAACACCTTTTAAGTACAACGTCAACGAACATGGCAAACGAAATGTTGTTTGAAATGCATTTTTAATGAAATAGGTTGCATATTCTTCTATGCATTCTTTTGAAAGTGGCCAAATGGGCCAATCAAGACGGATTTCGTTGTTATCAATGGATGATCGAAAAGAGAATGAATATGAAATATTTTCTTTTATCATCAGTGGTACTCGAGTAATGAAAGGGTTTCTTGAAATATCTGACGATCGACTCGAAGTCGGCGTAAATGACTTTCCATCGAGCTGAATAGAAATAACCGTTCGGTTTAAAATAAATAAAGTAACTGGAATTATTGTAAGAATCCGATTTTCCGATATTGTACGACAAATGAATGAACCATTAATCAATTCTTTGTGTGCATTGGTCAACAGAATCAATTCAGCAAACCGAACTCGAAAAACCAGATGTTGATCATGAATTTCTGGAATGAATCGTGCATTTAAATAATTTTTCCATTGCTGCGAATATAAAGAGAGTGTTCTCATAGCCGATTGCGAAGAGTTTGAATCAGCGTGATCTGTAATTAATATGATAGTTGATTTGGAATTAACATTATGCACAGATAACTTTGCCCTATTTTTCAACTGAGAAGGAGATGAAAATAACATAAAGACCAGCCAACACGATAGAAGAATTCCAAAGATGAATGAGAATTTCGAAAGTTGTGAAGAACAAGTTTTTTGACAATTAATTATTCTAATTTCACGAATGAGCATTATTGATAATCAGAAAAGATCTAAACCTGTAAATCTATAAAGTAGAATAGATAAAGCATTGTTTTAAGTATAATTCCAACAATTATTGTGCCACATTGATCGATAGAGAATCTGACCGTATTCAATTCACACATCTGAAAAAGACAGTTTTAAAATAGGATCAACATATTTGATCTCAGCCTGAAGTAACCGAAAAAATATTTTATTTGTTTTTTCTTTTTCAATTAATTTTTTTGATTCAATTTTCTTAATATTTCGACGTTTATTATTGAGCCAAATGTCCTTATTAGATTAAACTTTTCAATACCTACAGGAAGAAATTTTTTATGTGAAATCTTTTATTATATTCAATAGTGTTGAAACAAGTTGTATATAAAAATATAAAAAATAACGAGTACCAAAGAAATGTTGAGAACAAGTATGAATTTGAATATGTCATAGTAATATAATGATTTATAAACGCCTTGTTTATTATACTGAGTGCTGATTCATGCTTGCAAAGGTATCAAAGAGTATAACAAGAACGAATAGAAATAAAATCAAAATCTCGTGAAATTAGGAAGGTAGCGGTGTATTCATCAGGAATAGAACAGAAAAAGAAGCCATAATGGATAGAGAAAAAAACAGAAACAGAAAGAAAAGAAAAAAGGGGAAGGCATAAAAGAGGAAAAGAAAAAAGGGAAAGGAATAAAAGAGAAAAAGGAACAACAGAAGAAAAATATAATCAAAAAAGTAGAACTACTGCATTTCATTTGTGCTCTTCTCTGTCATTTCAAGTTGATTCAATAAAAAGCATCCACTTTAAAAGGAACGATTCATGTCGGTCTATCAATTGTTGTACACGACGTCCACGAAAAACTGATCAAGGTGATCATTTTTTCTTTCATAAAAGTTTTCCAAAACGAAGATGTCCCTATAGAAAATTGAGGATCCAGGATCAGCCAAATGCATGAATTTTAATCATCTTTGACTAGTCGTTTTAACGTAGAATTCTGAGGGATGTTTAGAAGTGATACTGTAAAGATTGTGTACATCGACAAAGGGACAGCAATGCACCAACGAAAGACCCACATGAAATTTTTGTTGCAACATTTGTTGTTATGTTGCTGAAAGAAAGGGAAAAATCTGGAAAAACTAAGCCAGATGCGGAAAGGATGCGGCTGGATGTGAGAGTGGATATACTTATTTTGCGGTTCCACCTACACCCACACCCTCTTTCCTAGTGCAATAGATAAGATCATTCAATCGAGTACTAATATGCTGTAAGTGAGAAATAAAAACAGCTTAACTTTTTTCTGGCTCCACGTGCTTACTTTCTTTCAATTAAGGAAATCTCCTCTTTTCCGACCCGAACTTTTTAGTTTTTTCGTTTTTTACTTTTTATGTTTGATATGTAGATTCAATTAAATACTTCCTGTGTAAGGAACACATTTAAGAAGGCAATACCTCTGCTTACATGCTAAAAACTCGAAAAATCTCAATTTTATGCTAAGAAAGCCAAAAAGTGCAACTTTCTTTGTGTTTTTCTCAAAACCAGTTTTTGACCAAAAAAAAAATGAAATTTCCCCTTTTTTCTTCTACATTGTATGACCCATTGAGCTGAAACTTTTTAATGACTACTTTAGTCAAATCAGGGTGTATACTTATTTTTTCGCTCGAAAATATTGTTTCTATGAGTTTTTGCAGCTTTTTAAAAATTTGCACCATTAGAAAAAAAAACACGTTTTTTCATGGTGTCCACAATATTTCGGTTCTTCTCGGCCTCGGGATCAAATTTTTTCAAAGAAAATAAAAGTACGCAATCTCCACTTTGACTCTGGTTGCTATAAAAAGAATTTCAGCAAAAAAAAATTAAGTTTTGGTTTTTGCTGGCGGAAGCGGAACTTCAGTCGGTTTTTCCTCCTTATGATCCTAATATCTCTGGAAAGGGAGCCTTCTGAGATTTTGAGTCTATGACAACTTTTGCTCCACTCATCAAGATCTATGTACCCTGAAAGTTTTAGAATTTTTGGTGAGTCGTTGTCTCGAAACTGCGGAAATGGTGATGAGGGGCCTTAAGTGTCCATACTTTCGGGTTCTCATCGTCAAAACAATACACATATACTTTTTCTACTTGTTTCAAATCATAGATATGGGCAACATGTTCTTGCCAGAGATGTACATTCACAGCGAACTTTATACAACGGACCATCGATTGCCGAATGCACTGTTCGCATTCTTCGGCCTTATTAAACGTTTCAGTGGAATACTCGATAAAATCACATTTTTCTTGAACGTCAATAGTAAAGTGATCATCTTAGTCGAACCAGATTATGGTAATATTTACCGCATTGGCATCATTATACCGTGATCTTGACGGCATGCTCTACTGATTACTGGCCAAGTGTTGAAAATGCCTATTCGCTTTTGCAACAAAAAAAGGAGTATTTTATTTCGAGAGCATTGGTTTCGTGAAAGTGATTAGTATTTGCATTAATGGTCACTTACATTAGTACTATTTTGTGAAACACGATCTGAAAGGAGTGTTGAAGTGTATAGGGTAGAAATTGTGCACCCCCCCTCCCCCCCACAGACCGTGACAGAGAAAATCCATACCCATCACAGACCGTGACAGAGAATTCAGGTACCCGTCACAGACCGTGACNATCCGTAAAGGTAGCATAGAACATCTGGTATTGAGTGGAAAAATTAACGGAAAGAAAGATAAAGGCCGACCTAGAATCAAATATCTAGAAAACGTGAACCTTTGGATTGAAAAACAAGGTCATGCGAAAATAGACTTTCTTCACGCAGCACAAGATAGGAAGAATTGGCGTATCATGTTAGCCAACGTCTGTAACAGATAAGGCACCTATCTGATCTGATTGATTATAAATATTTAAAGTTTCCTATTTAATAACATTATTTTCTTATATTTGACTTATCACGTTGGTTAACTGTTGACAATTATCTCATTGTTTATCTCGATCGTCATTAAAAAATTTCTTAATAATTAATTTAAATTATACTTCGTTTCGAGCAATAATTATGTTTTATTTTTGAAGTTTTTACATCTTTTATTTACTAGAGCATATACTTGTTAATATTTTTTTTTATTGTTATTGTACTATTGTTGTATTTGTATATATTGTTAATTATTTTTAATATAATTAATTAATTTATTATAAATAAAGAGAATTTTAGATAATTTCGAAATAAAATGTTTTTATATTGATAGAATAAGTTATTTTATTATTTTTATTCATAGGATATGTATTGTATGCAGAGATGCTAAATCCAAATTTTCAAAACCAGGATTTTTCCGCAGAAAAACTAAAAGCTGAGCATGAGATTCTCACTTAAAATCAGGAGAAAATCCAAGAGATTTTTATCGAAATCAGGAAAGTTTTTGGTTGTCTTTTTTCGACGTAAACTGAGATTTCCCTTTACCCAAATGATTACTCTAGACGAACTTATTTTTCTCTGCGCAATACATACTTGAGAATCTTGATCAAAAAAGTCATGCCCTACAGACAGATCTTAAGGCAAGACTTGAGACCTTTCGGCAAGCTCAGACTCTTGAACTTCTTGTTCTATCGTTTGATATTCTTGCACATGCACTTAAATTCTTATGCAAACGTTCCTGTTATTCAAGAAATTTTTCTAGTTTATTTTTGCAATTTTACGTTCAAAATAACTGAAATTTTAATGAAAAGTTATAGTTGTATTTTCATACAACACAGAAACGCTTCTCTTGAGAAAGAAAGTCATGCGCTATGGATAAAACTTGAGATCTGCGCAGGTCAAGTGCATGAAAAAAAAATTCGTCTAGGATGATATTTTCTCCTGACAAGTTAATAATGGCCTAGGTTTTCTATGTGACATTAGTTATATATATTATATGAGCCAAAAAAAAAGATAATCATGTGTTTTATATTACTATTTGTTTCACAATCATTCACAAAATACACAAAGGAAAGCAAGTGAATTCTACTTTGAAAGGGAATCAAAAATACCAGTACATAATAACCATAAAGTATCATTCATACTGTCTGTAGCAGTTTAACAATATGATTCCTCTCTTCTTTTTTTTCTTTTTCTAATCTTATTTTGGCAATTGAAAATGTCGTTAAAAGTGAAGGCGAGGCAAAAATTTAGAAACCAGCAGAAAAGCCTAAAAATCCGAAGTCTCCTGGCTAAATCAGGAGGCTTGACAGCCCTGTTTGTATGTGTTTTGTTCAATATGAAATATAATATAAAACAAATTTATATTTATATATGATAGTTAATTTATCTGTCATTATATTTCATATTATCAATTTCTAATAAAAACAATTAATCTAATTGATTTTTATGTATTATCATCGAACATTTCTCTTATTGTCCTTCTCATTCTTTTTCTTTTCATTTTCTGATATTTATGTTTATTAAGAGACGTTCAAATATAAGATATTGAAAATACAAGATAAACAAGGCTTTTAATGAACATTGAATCGATATTATTTATGATAACATATTAGTTTTTGATCATATTAGTCAATATATGAATGATCTTCATCAAATATCAACATATTTATCAGGTATAAGAGCAATTTCATTACTATACATTGGACAAATAATTCAAACTCTTGAACATAATGGACAACTTTGAGTACGAGTATTGACTTTTTCTATACAAACAGTCATACTCTAAAGATAGAAGACATTAGATTCGAATTATTTATTATTTATTAGATAAATATATTAAATACAAATAAATAAATTTCTATTTAATGGGGTATAGAAAGATTTTTCCTTATTGGAACGTTTTTTAAATTTTTAGTTTCTATTCGAAATATTGCTGTTGATAACATTATCTATGAAAATGAGAATTATCATAAAATTCTAGAAGATTCAAGATTTTTCTTCAATGTATAAATTATTTCACTAATGAATAATTGTCTCTAAACCGTCGTATTTTTTATAAAACTCTATTGATTAGAGAGATATGCTGTTTAATTTTGAATTTATTCAACTGTTATTCTCTATCAATAAAAACCATATCGATGGTATATACTAGATTTTTTATACATTCCTCATGAAGAATAATATATATATATATATTTCATTCACAAATGTGGAGTCATTCAAAATTTATAGTCTATTTCAATATGTAGACAATCATTGATTCAATTAAGATAGAAAACTAGAGAAAAATATAAATATTTATAGTTAGAATTTTCAATTCATTAAAATATTTGTTCATATTTAACTAATCTTTAATTTTAGAAACAAAATTGTGAATATATTTATATTTTAACTGAATGAATATTTATAAAAATTATTATATTAAAAAAAAATCTTAAATTTGAAGAGAATACAGATATTCATTTAAATCTAGTTGCTATCTTACTAACATATTATAGAGAGAAATGTTGATGGATCTTCAAATTTCTAATAGAACATAACTAAAATATATTAGTATGGTAAATAGGTAAATTATTAGGAGAGTGAATATAAAACGAGAAAAAAAAGAAGTATCAATATGAAACATATAAACTATCTGTTCAAGATAATAATGTGTAAAACAATTGACACTATATATTGAGAAGAGACAGAAACTTTCGTAATTTGGTAGAAAAAAATTTATCAATAATGTAGATGTCAATTAATGTTTGGGAGAGTATGGATATGTAGAGTGTGCGTATCCACACAAGTCTTGTCTTTACAGATTGAAATTCATTAGAGAAGTTGTTTGATGAGTTTTTTTTTGAAGAAAATATTTTTAACTTAAAAATTTTTATTAGAAAAAGAGAAATGAACAGAATTTCTATTTAATTTTCATATAATGGACTTCTTAGAAGATATTATTAGACTTTATGTATGTTTGACGCAAAAAGTAAATGAAATATTTTCAATATAAATTTTATTCAATTAATTTTTTATTCAATCGACAATATCTTATTCTGAAAATAATTAGAGAATTTATAAGACATATAATTAAAGAATTGTCATCATTAGATATATGAAATCTTATTGCCTTTTTTAATCTCAGAATCAATTAAATTACTTAAGTTTATTTTGAATTGTTCTCTTATTAACATAATTAAATGAAGTGATTATTTATTATGGGTGTGGGTGTTGGTGTGGGTATGGCGATGGGTATGGGTATGAGGCGTAGGCGAAGATAAGTTCCAGACCCACAGATAGCGTCACATCCACTCACGAATCCACACCCACACACACCCTGACTCAGACCCAGACCCAGACCCAATCCGACTCCAAGGTACTGAATTTCGTTTTCTTATTGTTTCCCGTACATATATGTTCATCTTCTTCTGCAAATATAGACAACGATTGCATTGCTCCTTGGTGACAATCGAGTCACTAAAGATAAGATTACTCGACTCGAAAAACTTATTCAAATCAAGAGAATTCTTTCCTGAACTATATCTTAGTCGTTACTTGTTATGTCGCTTTTTATGTTTCAAATTAAAGTTCCTAAAAGAGCCTGTCAATATTATATTCACTAACATCCATTTTACTACTTCTGATTGCGAAAGTTTTTTCAGCTCATTCGAAGGAAAAATAACTGTACGAGTTCTTCATTTCGAACTCTCTAAGCAATCGCTCGATTAACAGGTATATTGAAGATAAACACATGTTCCTTATCAAGTAAACCAATGTCACAAATGGATTTGTATTCATATCATTGATTTATTTATTTAAAAGTAAACTACACGTTATTCATGCTAATCAATTTGACCACAAAGAAATCCTTTATTGATATTCAATAAGTCATATGTAATCGACTAATAACTATTCAATTTCTCATATAAATCACCCCAAGCGTATTCCGGGTCATATTTTCTCTTCATTTCTTTATACCACTCAACATCATAGACACTAGACCATTGATCTCTTGAATAGTAAGCTAGTGAATAAAACATTTTTCGTCCACCTAATCTCATGACTTCTCTTTCTAATGCTTTTGTTGCATGTCGAGCGCCACACGTTCCTATTTGCCAATTAGATTGACGAGTCCACAAACCAAAATTGATGAATGATTCGTCGTCATTTCTATCTTTTTCCCGAAAATGTGGACTGAACTTCTGTGATGTAAGTGTTGAACAAATTGGACAAAGCCAAATCGGTTCAAGAATGCCGTCATGTTCCATAAAGAACTTTCCAGACTGTACATAAGTCAGAAATTCGGTAGCTTTCGATTTCGGAATGTAAACATCTTGAATGAGGGATTTTTCGGCAACTACTGATATGGGTGAAGCATGAAGACGATTGTAGAGTGAAAATGTAGCAAAAATGGGTGCAAGTAATGTTCTACTCAATATGTTATAGCCTCCAAAAGGAAACAAATTCAATAGATTACGAATACGACGTGGAAAACATTGAATTTGGTCTTGAAATGGATGTATCCCATAATGACCCATCCAAAATGCACAACGATCATATCGAAACAAATAATCTTTCAGTGGTATATATTCAGTGATCATCGTAAGACTACTTTTACTGTGAACTGCTTTAATATGTTGATAATACCATGGATCCCATGCTTTTGAAAATGTTTGTATTTTGGCTGTTTTTGGCATTGTTAAGTTATCAATTCGTTCTCCCGTAATAATCACTGTGTAATCCAAGAAAACAATCGCATCAACATAATCGTGATGAGAAAGCGATGCTAAACTGTCCATAGGTCGATTTGTTCGAAAGTAATTACATTGTACGAAACAATCGGATTTCACTTCCAGAACACGCAATGTTGCTTGAATCAACAATCCAAATGTTCCACATGCACCTAATGCTCCATAGAACAGGTCACAATTATTCGTCGGACTACAAGTTATGATTTGACCATTACTTAAAATATATGTTGCTTCGATTAATAAATCACCAAATTGTCCATAACGAAAACTCGAACTTTCAAGTCCTGCTCCAGCCAATATACCACCAACTGTTAACGCTTTATATTCTGGAACAACAGCCGGAACTAAATTATATAGAAGCAGTGCATCGACTAGTTCCTCCATTGTTACACCAGGTTCACATGTAACAGTTTTCGACGATGTATCGATGGCAATTATTTGATTTGCTGCTCCTAGATTAATAAAATGTGTAGTTTTAGTTTTAGTTTTTGTCATAGTCTCTGTTTTTGTTAATGATAACGATGGACGACGTACTGAATTCGATGGTGAATTTCGTTCATTTCGAAGAATTTGAATTCGACTACCCGTTTCATGGTCTCGAATCGATTGAGCGAGATATTCAATATTGATGATATTTTCTTTGTGGCGTCGTCGTTTGATGCTCCCTAATAAATATTTATGTAACCATGAAATATATATCCAGATCAACCATGTGATGTTTAGATACCATTCGTGTATACAAGATCCTTCCAACATTGATTTATCTGTGTGTATAGTTAAAAATTCAATTTAGAATTTCTCAGAAATTCGTTTCAAAAAAACTAAAAATCGTTGTTGCGTTAGGTTCGATTTACATGCTGATGGTAAAAATCAACCCAATAGATGTGTATAGCACGTGATTTTTTTTCTGTTTGTTGATATGCACAATGTGCTCTGAAAAAAAAGGAGTTTTACAGAACCCTTCGAAAAGGTTCTGTGGGTTTCGAATAGTCTCCAAATGGATCCAAAGTCTCAAAAAAAGGATGAAAATTCTACAGAACCTTTGGAAGTTCTGCGTTTTACCCACTCGCAGAACCATCTCCTACAGAACCTTTTTTTAGGTTCTGTACAGCAAAAAAAGGTTCCGTGAGAAAATACGAAACCTTAAGGGTTCTGTACAACAGCTTGAGGGTTCTGTACAAAACCATCAACAGTTGGTACGAAACCCTAATGGTTTTGTACGAAACTCTCAAGGTGTAGTACAGAACCCTTAAGGTTTCGTATTTTCTCACGGAAACTTTTTTTGCTGTACAGAACCTAAAAAAGGTTCTGTAAGATATGGTTCTGCGAGTGGGTAAAACGCAGAACCTTCAAAAGGTTCTGTAGAATTTTTATCCTGTTTTTGAGACTTTGGACCCATTTGGAGACTTTTCGAAACCCACAGAACCTTTTCGAAGGGTTCTGTAAAACTCCTTTTTTTTCCAGAGTGCATTCACCTGTAGTAATAAAGAACAGAAATATCTATCATTTCGATGTCATTTTTGCACTTTGTATGCTTAAAAAGCCTTCAGTCATTCATAGAATATTACGATGATTAGAAACAGCCATTTTACACAGGGCTGACAAATTCATTTGCATTTTTTGTCATACTTTCAACATTCGATTACTCTGATATCCGTCGTCGAGCAAGATTGATCTGCATAAATACGAATGAAACTTTTTTCGAATAGATGTCACTGGATCACCAGCGAAATTAGTGTGAACGAAATTGTTGATACGGTTATCCAAAAGAAAAAAACACGATAGACAATACAATTGAACGTGGATGTTTACGTTTTCTATAGGAAGTTCTAAAGGTTCCTCTAGTATTTTCTGATTTTCATCTGCAATCTTTACTTGATACAATCATAGAAGTTCTCTTGAATAGACACAGCGATGCGGGCAATAGGAACAGACGATGATGAAGTGAAAATGAGAAAAAAAACAACAATTAAGAAAACCAGTATCTAGTAGCATAGCCAGAGAGAAGCTTGAAGATGCTTAGCCCCCTCATCGACTAGTTGCATTTCGCCATAAATGGGACAGTTATGACAGAACGACACATTGAGTCTCCTCATAAGCGACAAAAATTGAAGGCTAAGCTTCTAGCTCCCTCGCTACGCAACTAACAGTATTATTTGATCATCGTTTATGTTGCTCGGCTACTTGCTCCGGCAAAAACATCTGCATTACAGAACACTATTAATTGATGGAAAGAAGATATAGCAAGAAAAACAATGATTGATTTGCCAATATATATTTGAAAGAAGAGATTTAATCGATAATAATCGTTCACTTTTGACGCAGATAACGTCTGATTCTTCACGTCTAGCCAGTCGACAAATTGGATTCAACTTTGCTATCATCATGTTGTCATCATTCATTTGTGTTCCTGTCAATTCACATAGTGATATACACAACTATGCTACGTGTAAAGATTTCTTTTCTGGAATTAAACAGAAAATCATTTGTGATATTTTATCGAATCTCGATATGCCATTTTGCAGGCTATCGACCTTGTTATTGATGATAATGATAAAGATATATGCAATGGCAATATTTTACTATTAAAATTTTTGCTGGCATTTCGTAACGTTACCAACTTAGGTTTGGATAAAGAAAAACAAGCAGTGTGTGATCAATTACAAGAAATGATTCGAGTAGAAAACCATGATTCGTATACAATGAATCATTATCACATGAATAAAATTAATGAATTTACAGAACAACATACAGCAGAATGTCAATCAGGTAAAACAAATGAAAAAAGGTGTTCCCTTACGATGACGGATGATGATAATAAGCAGAGGTTTGATGACATTCTGAATGACCATCAAGTAGTACAAGACATGATAATTAGCATTTATGCACCTTGGAAATTGCTGATAAAACTTTTTATTAATTATGCAGGATGTGTCTTGGACATATGTCCGAGTATACAAAAATATTTAAGACTGATTCCTGTCGAACAAACTGATTTTGTCGATGCATATTTTGCCGAGGATGCGTTTGTTCGAATTAAACGACAATATTTACAGCAAACGAAAGAACGATTGAATAAAGTTGATACTATAATTTGTAGTGGTCGAATAATCGTTGATGACCATCATACATTTGCCAGTGACTCAATGCCAGTGAAACATTTCGTCATCGACGACTTTATATATACTTGCAGAGAATTTGAATCATACTAATGTCAACGTCAATATTGGTTTTTCTATAATTGTGCAGAGCAGTTTTATTGAACAATCAATTCAAAATGTTCTACAAGCAGTTCCGATTGATTCTACCCTCAGCTTCATTGTCGAAAACATCCGCAATCGTAAATGAATGACAAGGACCTTGAGATATATTCAAAAAAAAAAGAATGTCGTCGGATGAACAAAAATCGTGACCGATAATGATCTCGACTTAACTCAATTGTAGTATTGTTAAATTTATAAGCATTCCATTTTTTCTTATGAAACACAATTTTTCATCAGTTTTGAAATAAATAGCGAGAAAAGTGTAGACTTATCGAAATTCATATTTGTTCATAAACAATGTCGAATAATCGTTGAACATTAAATCCCAATCGGACTGATGGATGTCGATTTATATGACTGAAACCTACATCGTAGACTTTTTAATACATTATAAGTTTTGTTTTATTCATTTGAAAGATTTAGTGAATTTCAAAATGATTCAATGATTCGGAAAAAGTTATTCTATCTAATGCTAAGATGTTTTGTTTTGAAAATATTGATTTTGTCGTACGTTCTCAAATTTTGGATCAAATCATATTTGTTAAAGGGAATGAAAATCGATGAGAATGTACAAGATCATATCGATGAGATAATATTTCTTGTCTGTCATAATACAAGTGTTCTATTGTTTGTTCAATGACTCATCTTGAAAAAATGTTCTCGTAGCCGATTACACAGAAGAAAAAAGGAAGAATTATGAATCTATGGATTAAGAAAGTAAAACTTCGTTTTCTATTATTTCTACCTACAAGTAGAAAATGTTTTAGTTGAAAAATCGAATGAAACAATGCTAACCCAATTTATGAGTTATGACGAAACAAAAGATCAAAAAGAAGAACTCAACATACGCTTTACTACATCCCCATCAGAAGCAACAATATATCTACAAGACTAAGACCTGATCGATTGTGATATTCTAGCCATTGTGCAGGGGGTCACTATCGTTCGCAAGTGTCCACGTGTCGTTCTCGATAGGACCTAGATTATAAACAAAGGAGCTGAACATCTTGGAAAAATGCTGCAATTACGGGTATGTATGGATGTGGCATGTGGGTGTGGCGTGTGGATGCGGGACTTCCGTTAGCCGTCATCCATGCTCGCACCTCACACCTTCCTTCTCTTCTGTTTTGAACTACGCATCAAACGTTGTCGTTTTCTATCGCAATGATCTCAAGAAACAGAGGTTACAGAATGATTGTTTGAATGTGAGAAAGAAATCCGATGATCAAATCAATAACATTCGTTTTTACATCTTTGATATAGCATTCTATTTTCGTAGAAAAAGTTACCCAAAAAGGCAAGCTTTTGTGGATTTTGTGTCTTTTTTTCAAGTTTCGAGATTATTATAAAGCGATCAGTTGAAAATATTATTTAAAATTATGCTTATATCTTGTTGTGAGTTCTCTTAAGTAACGTATGTCACAATAGCCAATTCACAGTTGCTTTCTGAGTTCGATCATCTGATTGATAGAGACCTCATTTTTCCATTTTCAGGGCAAAAAAAGGACTGATTCCAAAAGAGCGTGGTTATCTTCTGTAGAAAAATATTTCATATTCAATCGTCTAACCGATTATTCATTTTTCAGATTATATCGAATGAATCGTTAATCGAAATGTTGAAGACTTCGATTTTCTTCAAACTTCCAGATAAAGAAAGTAGATAGCATCGGAGCTGAGCTCAAGGTGCGACAAGGATGTCAAGCACGAATCTCGAGTTTCGAAAAAAAACGATCTATAAGAAAAAAGAAATAATTGTTTTTAACAACTATCTTAAGTCGCTGTCTCATAAATATGTATACGTTTTACTGAAATCAGATAGTTTTTGTCGCTGCGGATCAAAAAGAAATAATGCTAGTATCAATCAGTTGACGCCTATCAGGATCAACTGGTATCTACAGGTTTCTAAACAATGCTATCGTTTGACCGATACCTATTTACATGATTCATTATCTATAATCATTTGCTTGATGCACGAACAAAAAGATCGCTTATAGTCAGGAAATGGAACATCATGGGGAACATCGGAAAAAATCCTATCAATTCGATCTTGATACTTTGACTTTGCGTTTGAACAAGTACTTTTTGAGTTACTGCTCTTGAAGTCATCGCCAAGAAGATGAAAACTTTTGACGTATAGGTCAAGAGTGTAAAAGAAACAAAAAAAAAGAGAAAACTCTCGAACGAGTTCATAAATGCCATGCTTCGCATCACATTCGAGAAAATCTCGAATGATCGTTATGAAGTGCTTCACACTGTAATAAGTTCATAACAGCCATGATTGACAAGTTTTAGAGCTAGATTTTGCATTTTTACCATTTCTTCTGTAACAAATCGAGCAATTTCTACTTTCGCTAATTGGAAACCATGTTCAAATTAACGATTCAATTTGAAAATAAAGATTTTTATCACACGCTATAACTTTTTCAGTATTTGGACAATATTAACCATGTATAGACATATCAGGATCAGCATAATGACATATATGTGCTAATGTCTCTTTGCTTGTAAGTTTCGATCGAGCATTTTGTGAAGAGTCTGGGTGTGGGTATGTGCGAATGTACGTGTTTGCGTAGGTCCTCTCTTCATACACCCATACCTCACATCTACACCCGGATGTGGAGCAAAATTTTGAAGGAAACGCACTGCGTAATGCGTTCCCGAAGTTTCAGCATGCGTTTCGCAACATTTTTTTCAGTAAAGAACGTGTTTCGAAGCATTCTTAATTTAATAGAATGCGTTTTACTGTCGTATTTTTTTAAAGCGATCCGAAACGCTGTTTTTCAAGAAAGCGTTTCGAAGCATTTCTGAAGTAAAATATTATCGAACGCAATACGGTCGACAGGCGACGCGTTCTAGAGACACATATTATGAAAACCGTGAAACTCGTTTCTTTTTCAAACATTTTTTACATCGTTTTTGCTTGGAATGAGGCAAAATGTATCTGTTTTGCATACAGAATCTTGCAGAAATTCATCTCTGCAAAGCATAAGAGTTAGGCAAAGTTAACTCTTTGACATTATTTTGGAAATGATATTGAATAGCATTTGAAAACTCTGCTGTTTGCACTATTTTATACGTGAAAATCATGACCCAAACCTTAGAAGTAATGTTCGTCGATTCGACTCACTTGACCCTCGACTGTATAAGACAGAAGTATATATTCCGCATGTGGGTATCGAAAGAATGGGCCTACCAGCTCAATCACAATAACTGACTTAAATTTCCATCTTTCGAATCGCAAAAGTCGAAGAAATCGATCGTTCTTCGTGAGAATTAGTTTAGGATACAGCTCACTTTTCAGCAAGAGTTTGTAAAAACTAGTGATTCTTTATCCAAGTGCACTTTAACTAATAAATATCAGCAGAAAAATAAATATTACATTGCTACGCACTAGCAACATGATGATATAAACTAATTTTAGTTGGTGATATATGCTCATAGAGCAATTATGAAATTTGATACTAAAAGTCTTATGTTTACGAACAATACACGACTATAAATAATTTGGGTGTGGGTGTGGGTGTGGGTGTGGGTGTAGGTGTAGGTGTCGGTGTGGATGTGAGTGTGATGTGGGTGTAGGTAGGGCCCTCAAGTCCTGTTTTTGAAAAGGATTTTTTTTTCGAAATTCTTTTTTTAATGTAGAAACAGGCTTTTTGAGGAAAGATAAAATTTTTCTAAAACTCCTGAAATTATTTTTCAAAATTAGCAGTTGAGGACCCTAGGGTTTCGGGCTGGGCACGAGAGACGGCTAGCAAATCGTCATCAATTACCGGGGAACCTGATGGTAACTTCTCAGCTCTACTCACAGCCACATCCACCCATACCCTTTCAGCTCCCATTGAGTTCCCGACTCCTTGGAACTTGGCCAGTTCTCACACCCATCCACAGCCACAGCCACACCGCACACCCACACCCACATCCCCACACCCACATCCCCACACCCACATCCCCACACCCACATCCACATCCACACCCACGCCCACNTGTGTTTCTATGGTATTGTTTATGTTGTTACTCAATTATTATTATGATTATTATTTATATATTATTATGGATTTGATTATGAATTATATTACAATTAGATTAGTTGATGCTTTGGTTATGTACCGATGATAACCGCTTTCAACAGCTTGTTACTAACAGTCAAGGTCGAAAATTCTACTTCTTATACAATTATCTAAATTTTCAAATAAAATAAAGAATGAAACTATTTTGTCTCTCACTTCATCTTTCTTTTCTTATTGATGACTGATAAAACGTATAGATTTTTCTCAAGTTATTTCAATATGGATATATGTAATAGATAGAATGTGCACACCAGTGTTTTTTTTTGCCTTTTTTGTTTGTTGTATTTGGGTATATATTCTGAAGGAATATCTCAAAAATAGTGCATTTGTCTTATTGCATTTGCCACATATACTTATTGAAGATGAATAAGATTCGGTATTTCTTCAGATGAACGACACCATCGCTTGATTGATTACACAGGTGAAGAGGAAAAGAAAAAAAAGAGGAGAACGAGAGATGGTGTATAGTTCTAGATCGATGATAGCTATCAATTAAAACAGTATTCAAATAAATAGTTAAAAAATATTGAAAAAAAAGAATTACACAAACAAAAAAAAATTTAGTAATAAACACAGATGAAGATAAATCTGAAATTGAAAGTAAAATGAAAGAAGATCATAAATAAAAAATAAAGAAAATCCTATCATATACTTATCTGAGACTTACTGATATCTATCGATACTTTCCTTGGATAATACGAATCAGATTCTCAAGAGGACACTGACCAAATCTGGTATACCTAAGTATCGGATAAGTATATGATAAAATTTTCTTTATTTTTTATTTATGATCTTCTTTCATTTTACTTTCCATTTTAGATTTATCTGCATCTGTGTTTATTACTAAATTTTTTTTTTTGTTTGTGTAATTTTTTTTTAAATATTTTTTAAGTATTTATTTGAATACTGTTTTAATTGATAGCTATCATCGATCTAGAACTATACACCATCTCTCGTTCTCCTCTTTTTTTTCTTTTCCTCTTCATATATGTAACCAATCAGGCGAGAGTGTCGTTCATCTGAAGAAATACCCAGTTTTTAAAAATAAATCGTTTTTTTTTTTTAACAAGAGAATGTTGAAAAAAAACGATTATTGAAAATTTGAAAAATCGTATTGTTTATCAAGATGTTTAATACATTATTCTAGTTTTTAATCACAGATATGGAAGCATAAATTGATAAGATTTATTCTATTATTTTCTTTTATTCTTATTAAAGATTAAAATTTTAATAGACAGAAGTATATTTCATATTGTATAAATTGATTAAACAAATCAAAGTTTATATAACGTTGCTTTTTTGACATTTCTTTTTTTTTTAAATTCTGATAGTTTTTCGAAGAAAAATAGTCAGTGAATACATGAACTGAAGTTTTTGTGGCTTCTATTTTCAATGATAAAAATTGAAACTAAAAGTCATCGAAGAGAAAAAGTCTCTTCTAAGAAGAAAAGAGAGCATTGAACGACATAAAATATTAAGATCTCTTGTGAAATCACATGAAATATATAATGAGAAGATATTAATAATAAAAATAAATAATCCAGTGACATTAAAAAAAGTTTCTTTTCGAATTGTCGAAATAACTAAGCAAGATCATTTTTTATATGATTGAAGAAACTTAGAACATAATTGTCGTCTATGAGAGATTTTTCACTTGCTGATAAGTGTTTCTGTTGGATATTACTGTTATGATTTGAAATTTCTGTAATTTAAATTAGAATAATAGTAATTAGCAAATGATAATAAATTAGTTTTAGTTTTTCTATGTTTATACAGATAATCTATTATCGAAAATCTTTTTTTCTCAATTTGATAGATAGAATAGTAAATTAAATGATAATTAATATTTTAGCTGCAGCAAGTCATAATAGTGAACTTGAAGAATGTATTAAATCAGTTTTAAAAGACAACGAAAGTTCAAATGGTGGTGTTTGTCCTTTTTTTTGGTGATATATGGGGGTACCCATAGGTCCTTAACCCTTTGGCGGCGGGCGTCCCATATATGGGACGGTCAGACGTTTCCCTTGATATAAGTATTAAATCCTACTCGAAACTGCAATTTGATACTAGTACTTAACGAGTTCTGTCTATTACAATAATAGAGAGTCTTGAGCTGGTGGGAGTTTTGCAAGAAAGATGCACTTTTAATGCGTGACACCCTGTTTTGATACCTATCATACACTGAAGTACTTCTAATAAAAAGTATATTATACAGGGCGGAGCCCTTTGGTTTCTAGTAGGATTCCTAACAATAAAAAAGATCCCTTTGGTTGCCAGCGACGCAAGCTTTTTACACACTGCAATACGCACTAGTTTCCATTGGATACGATAAAGTTGTTCTAGTAAAACTGACCCCGCCGCCAAAGGGTTAAGGACTATTATATGGGGATACGCATAGGCTCTCAAGGGAGTAAGGCAGTAACGAGGTAGGTAATAAGGGATAAAGCAATAAGGAGATAAGGCTACAAGGGATATAAGGCCGAAGGCTACCTGGACTATAGCAAAATGTGCGATATAAGAGTATCAGGCCGTAGGGCTATCTATCTATATGCATAATATCGGGTGTCTGTATGTCTGTTACCGGATGAAGACGTCTAAGGTCATACATTAAAGGAGGAAACAGCCGTGCAGTATGCACGAGTTCTTGCTAGTATAATATTATTTTTCTTCTTTCAATTAAAATAAAAACATTTGATTATCTTAATTTCTGCATGTTTTGTGATTTTGTTTGAAAAATATATTTATCAAATCTTATGAATGTCTTTAATGAATAGTTCCTTCTTATTCTTTTTTTTTTTAGATGTTTGCCCTTAAGACATTTACCAATTTATGTACTATTCAATCAAGTAAATAAATTGTATATTTCAATATATATAAATTTTGATTTATTTTAATTTTTTAGTTCTTCAACATTCAATACGTACAGCAAAAATATTTAAACCAAATTTACTTCTACCGAAACATCGTAATATTAAAGTAAAAGATGGTCAATGGGTTGAAAAAGATACTGTTCTTACTTTACAGAACAATCTTGTTTTATATCCTGGTGAAAATGTAAATAAAATAAAATAAAATAAAAAAAACAAACTTCTTTTAAAAATTATTTATTATGATTTTATATTGATTAGACATCCGTCGCTTATGATTATACAATTCGATCAACAGTACCAGGATTTGTTGTAATAACAACTGAATCTGTAAAACCATATCCACATAGTCCATTATTTCGTTATGTTAATAGTGGAAATGATGTTAAACGAAATTTTATACATATTTTACCACCACGACGTCAAGCATTTTTTCGTCTTATTGATCAATTATAGTAATCGATTAAGAATGATTTTTTTTTCAATGGTAGGATAAGAAAAAAAAAAAAAATCTAATCATCGTTGTTCACCAATGTTGTTTTGTGTTTTTTTTTTCTTTTTTGTTGTTGTTCATCTTTACATATATATATATAAGTATAGCTTAATGTAAACGTCTTTGATATTATGTGTCAATGTTGTTTTGTAGATTGTCGTATTATATACAACAAAATTTTATTTTACCCGCGATGAATTCAATTTATTAAATGTGAATAATTATGAAACAATTTATCTATTCGAACAGTATTCATCGTTAATATTAAAAATAATTATAATGACTGTTGTTGTACAAACACGTGATCGTTGTCGTATTTGTTTTTCATTACTTTTACGTGATCGTTCAATATGTTGTCAAAAATCTTATGATTTATTTAAAAATATTGAACGTCAAAAAATTCCATTAAATAAATTAAATCCATATCAAATTAAAATACGAAATCAAACAGTTTGTTTTCGAGATTTAATTATACGTTATTTACATACACAAATACATCAAACAAGAAATTTTTCAAATTTTATATGTTATGATTATTCAATGATATTATTAGATATTGAACAATGTGCAAAATATTTACGTAAAACAATAAATCAATTAAAAATTAAATTAAATAAATCAAATCGTCTTCGAACATCATCATTATCAGCAACATATCAAAAGAAAAGACAACAACAACAAACAACAATTATTAAAGAAGAAGAAGAACAATTACCTATTATAAATTCAGATTCTGATGAAGAATCTGATGATATTGACGATGAAGAGGTTTGTTAAATTAATATTAGATTAAAATAACAGATATATATATATATATATATATATATATATATATAGATAGATAGATAGTACAAATATTATGAATAAAAAGTAAATCCTCGACACAGTTTTTGTAACGGCTTGTTCCAGTGTGTACTAACTACACAGTCGATGGTTCCGATTCCAATTTTTTGGGAACCGTCTTCGACTAATAACCGATTCTTCAGGTCGAGTTTTGTTGTTATAGGTTTTCTAAGCATTATGAAGAGTTGTGAATCGAACTAAAATTATACAAAAGATATTCCTTCTATAATATTTAACTATTTCGATTATAAAATTCCACAACAGAATTGAAATATTTTTCTATGGAGAAAAAAAAAACTTATTGTTACATTAATTAATATTTCAGAAGATATTATTTGTAAAATATCTAGATTTGAAAAAAAAAATTTTTTTTTTCTACTTTTTTAGGAGTTCGATGATGAGCAAGATGATATTAAACCAAATGTATCAACTAATATAAAATCTTCAAATCAATCAAAATCTCTTCATTTTACACCATCATCATTATTATCATCATCCGGTAGTAATTCTTCATCAAGTATTTCAACATCAAAAATAAATTCAACTAATAAAAATACTAATAATGGTCAGTGCAATGATAATAATAATAATGTTGATGATGGTGAAGATGATGATGAAATTGGTTTAATAAAAAATTCATCATCAGAAAAATTTCAACAAAAAAATTTACATGTACAAACAAATCCTCCAAATATATTATCCGGTTCAAATAGTTTAATAACAACAGGTAATACAATGAATTTACTTGAAGAAACAAATCCAAATCTATTTCAATTACGTCTTGCTCATATGATGACATCTATGGCTTCTATAATAAACTTATTAAACAAATTCAATTTGAAAGAAATAATTTAGAATATCATTTTATTTCTCAATCAAAAATATTATCATCAAAAAATATTTCACAAGAACAAAGTAATCATTTAACTGTACTTTCTTTTAATCAAGTAATTTATTTTTATAGTTATTCAATTAAGAATTTGTTTTTTTTTGTTTTTTAAGGCTGATAAATTAATAAATAAATGGTTTTCAAGAGCTTATCAATTATCATTTGAAATGGAAAGTGAACTTTCTTTTTCTCAAGAATTAACTTGGAAACGATGGAGAATATCTGCAAATATTCCCTGTAAATTCCTTACATATTCGAAAGTCGAATTCGATATTTAAAAAATTTTTTTTTCTTTCTTTATATTATTTATATTTAATCAAATTTATTTTATTTATTATTTATTAATATATATATTAAAAAAATAAAAACAAAAACAAAACAAGAAGAACAAAATATTGAATTAGCAAAATTGAATTTTAATGATCAAAATTAAATATATTATTATTGAGAACTTTTTACATTTGATAAATTAAACGATATTCAAGAATTTTTTTATCATATTATTCGACAGTTTATATCTTATATAATATTATAATATAAAAAAAAAACAAAAAAAGTAATATGATGCATAAAATGAACAATGTTACATTTGAACTCTAATCGACGTCGAATTTTTTATTTAAATCTTATTTTTATTTTGCCAACTTAACCAACAAATTTTATTTTATTAAAATAAATTATTTTTGAAAAGTGAATAGAATATTTCTTAAATAAGTTAAACTTAAAAAAGTAAAGAATTTTTATCAATAATAAACTAAATTAATATCTACATTGGAAAATTTAATAATTATTCTTCTATTTATTTAAATATTTTTTTTATTTTTTCAGTTTTCTCCTTAACTAGTAAAATTCTTGATATATTCAATGTTCGATTGTTAT